GCTTCTTGGGAAGTAAGGCGCATGTGCTAGTGCGATTCGGACGCTGGAAGGAGATCTTAAACCTCAAGCTTCCCACCGATTGCAATACATATTGTGTGACTACAGCCACCATCCATTACACCCGCGGGCTTGCATTTAGCGCACTTGGATGCATTGCAGAAGCAGAATCTGCTCAAATGGAGTTTGAAACGGCGCGTAGGGCTGTTCCGAGCTCCCGACTCAATAGCATTCCATGCAAGGAAGAAGACGTTCTCGCGGTGGCCTCAGCTATGCTTGCTGGTGAATTGGAATATCGAAAGGGCAATATTGAGACGGCTTTCGATTCTCTTCGGAAAGCCATTATGCTTGAGGATGCACTCGCCTATAGTGATCCGGCACCTTGGATGCAGCCAGTTCGCCATGCACTTGGTGGCCTGCTTCTTGAGCAAGGGCGTGTTGAAGAAGCAGAAATTCTGTTCAAACAGGATCTTGGCTTTGCCCTTGACTATCCTCGGCGCAAGGCGAAGCTCAACAATGTTTGGGGGTTGCAAGGTTTACACGAATGCTTCACTCGCCTTGGGAAGAGTCAAGACGCTGCTTTCATTCAACCTGCACGGGATATTGCCTTGGCATCTGCTGACATTCCAGTGAATGTTTCATGTTTCTGTCGAACTTCCGCGGTAACAACTATTGGATGTTGTTCAGAGCCATCCGGGTGATTCGAGTAGTTGCAGACCCCGTCAGAAGCTCCATATTAAAGAAAACCGAAAGTCACTGGAGCTCAAGGGCCAGAAACTGACCGCGGAGCAGATTGGACCTCAGTTTACAGACATAGAGACGGCCGTTTTGCGACAGATCTGGCAGGAAATCGAGCCCCAGCAATGCACCAGATCAGGGGTAAATCGAACGTTTCATCGTCACAAAGTCGTTTTGTTTAGGAGAGCACTGTATCGTGTGCCAATCACAGACCATTTGTACATGAACTACTTTTTCGAAAAATAAAAAATTATGCTCTAGCAAAGCCCTGCCTGCATTATCACAATGTCATTCCCAACTTCCAGTAATAGGCTCGTCGCTATAGCTAACCTACGAAATGAAAGTGCTTTTCTCACATGGTCTCAATTAACGTGGAAATCCATCCCACTGTAGTTATGTAGGTTGGTAGATTCCATTGACCACGACTCCTCGCCAAGCCGATATGCAGCCTACTACGACCATAGATCCATGCACGTACATCTGAAGTGTGCCACTTCCTGGAACGGACTTAGAGCCTCGGCGAAGCCTTCCGCGGCTAGGGATCCGAAAGGAATATGATTATTCCAGAATATTCCTGAAATATATGGCTACTTCACATTTATCTATATAAATAATTGCCATACATTGGCGTTCTTTTCTTTACATTCGAATACATCAATCATGCCCGGACACTTGATTCCGTAGCGAATTATGGGCCTGTGTTTGAATTCGAAGCACTGAAATTATATGCATACGCCACTGAAGATTGTTATCTTAATCTTTCAAACAGCATCAGCCGTTGCATAAGTCCTCGTGTTCAGACGGTGTCTTCGGAAGCACAAGACATCTCGAGCATTGCTGAACTTGCGTTCAATCCCGACTTCCGCCGAAGGTATGTTCGTGGGCGGCATCTGCCTTGAGTGAATAGGAAACCCGTTAGCCTCTCCTCGCTTTAGGACCCATTCTGCGTCCGCATCGCCGATCATGTGGTGGGACCAGTTGACCGGCGAGGAATCCAAGTCTTTATCAACACCTGAAAAAAAGGCCTGTTTGTATGCCTGGACTTTGCGCAGAGTTCTCCACCGTGTCTCCAACATCCCCACTGGATATGGATGGTTAACTCCACTTGGCACAAATGGCTTTGGAGGGTATTCTTTCTTAAAGAGTTCCCGCCTTTGCGAGAGGATGAACCCCCAATCTTGATCGCTCATTTGAGGCAGGACCAATTACATTTTTACGCGCGGATCTAACACGGTAGCCACATAGCAAAGAAGGGTGTCGGCCCTTTTTCTAGCAAACTTGTTCATGTCCTGAATGTCATTTTCCACCGCATTCAAACTTCATTTAAGATTGGCTCAAAATCCAGTTAATCGGCAGACTTTCCAGAATTTTTGGGCATACATTTACATCCAAATTTGTCTGGTCTCAGGACGGCCTGAGCACCTTGGCTACTTGCTGAAGTGTCGACTATTTGTTATCGGTAAGCTGGAGGGACTTAATTTCTGCATGCATCCACGAAAACTGCTCCATATCAATTCGCAGCCGAAGGGCATCCTGCATCATGATATACGCCGAGTCCCATCGAGTGCAAACACCATAACTGACTTGTTTGCCTGGTGATACTTCTTCCAAATCTTGGTGGCGCTGGAAGTTACGGGTGATGCACCGCGTCAGAAGACGAATTTTCATGATTGCTCTGTTCGTGGTGTGAATAAAATTCAAAGGTGGGCTAGTATGAATGGCCATGTCGACCAGGATCGCCTTTGTCTCTCGAGCCGAGTCGAGGCTCAAGAGGTTTTTCGAATGGCGAATGTCCAGATCTTGAACCGGCACGGCATTACAGTCATCTTATATATGTGTAAATTAATTCTTCAACACAGGAGTCTCTAGTCTTGTTAAGCCCTACAAAAGCGTACCAATAAGCCATCTACGTCTTCAACAGCGTAGAATGCCCCCCCCCAAAAAAATAGTGTTTGGTACTGCTGCTCAATTTTTACGCTGCAGGTTATAACAAAGGGTCCAAGTATGGCCAGTTATTTACAGGACACGCAGATAAAGCTTCCCATGATAAGTACAAATCATGTTCGGTAGATGACTATTATAGATCACAGGTCAGTACCAAGAAGAGTTTGAAAAGATGCATGGAAGTATTACTTACGAAGTTATCCGCAGGACCGGGAGGGTGCAGAAGGTCTTTCATACTGTCTACCTCACACAAATGGTTCTCCTACAAACGGAGTCAGTACTATTATTGCCTTACTTTCCCCGACAGCAATATTACAAAGAGGGAATGAGAATGGAGACTTGCACTTGAATGAGGTTCGTGAGATCCTTCATTGGCATTATTGTCCGAAAGGTCGGGCTTTGCACTTCCTTCCAGCAACAACTCGAGACAGCGGCGGGAAGCCTGTGGGCAAACATCATCTACCGTCAATGCATTCATCTCAGGATTTCCGGTGCCTTGTCCAGTCTCAGGGACCGGTAAATGGCTCTTGATAGAAGTAAAGAGAATGAATAAGGTGGTGAAGCTTTTGCAGGCCCGCTTTTCGAAACGGACTTTGCATTCGAAATACTTGAGTGCGTTTTCAACACCTTGGAGGAGACTTAATCGATGGTATAAAGCACACTGATTCATGAAATCGGAAATGGTATCTGAAAGCGGCCGAAAAATAGACCCGTGGATCTCTAGACGGAGCTCTAGACAGATAGTTATGGCGGCGTGGAAGACATCGTCTTGGAAAATGCCACCTTTCAGTTGCAAAATGTGGGGAGGGACAACGTTATGCCGGTGAGATGAGGCGGTGGGCAACATGCTTGGAAAACATTCGAGTTGCGCTAGCAAGGCGAGGCTGTGCTGAACACAAGCGCTTCGGGAGAACGTGAACGTTCTGTTTTGGTCTTCAGCACTGCTCAAGAAGAATGATCGGTGCAACATGAGATGAAATCGGTAGCTGATGAAGAGAAAAAGGGATTTGCGGAAGTTGTTGCAGCGAAACCTTCCATTGGTTATCTCCCCAGGACTGTTGATGTCCCGTAGCTCGTGCGGAGCCTCAGCAACGATGGCGGTCAAACATTCACTGAGGTGTATAACTTCGCTGTAGCCTATGCTCAGCCGAAGGCTGTTGACAGCTTTGGCAATACTCATGCGAATGTGTAAGGAACGTGCAAGCACAACCTGGAACAATGTTCTGGTCGATTCATCTATTGGCCGCATCGGAGGCAAGGAAGATGAGCTGCTGGAGAAGTCCTCATCTTCTATATTCGACGGCGGAGGACAGTCAAACTCGTCCCAAGAGATCGCCAATGGTGTCCCATTATGCACCGCGGTTTGAAGCTCCAATTCCACTATAGTGAACCACAGCCGTTTGCGTAATTCAGCCCAGTAAGGCGATACATTGGGAAAGTTTAATGGGTCGCGGTGCAGACCTATCAAAACAGCTTCTCGCACAAGAGACCCGGCCGCCATCCCTGCAAGATCCCCTTCCCATGCAGTCGCCTGGCAAGCCACCAGCAACAAACATTTCACTTGGATCATGTCTAAATTGAACTTTTCATGGTTCGGTATGGGGCCCATCCACGATGCAACAGCTTGGACCCAATCACGCGATATATGCAAGAGGGAAATCTGGCTTGATCCCGCAGATGCGATGGTATCAGCATCGGCCAAGCAGCTTGAGCATGCCATCATTGTTAGAAGCTTGGCCACGAAGATCTCCGTAGGGCAATTGTTGGTTGACGACCCCGCCTCATTCCAAAACGCATTGAGTTCTCCTAGAAAAGAAGGCACATGAACGATGCGGAACGTGGTTTCGTGGGTTGACAGATACAAATGCACCAAATATTCGGCCAGGCCACGGGAGGGCATTAAATCACTCAACTTTCTAGTTCGCTTGATCCAAGGATCCAGTATGTACTTTTTGTTAACAGCCTTTTGGTTCTGCTTATGCCGTTTCAGAACCAACCAATCTTGAAATCTGGTATTAGCCGGATCTTTCTTCAGTCGATGATAGTCGTGCAGGTGTGCAACGAGATCAGGGAACTACATCATGCTAGTATTAGCAACAGTAAATGACAGCAGGGCATAAACCCAACCATGCTTAGGGTGGTTGCCCAATGACTTCGCCCAAAGAACCTGGTCTTTAGTTGTTCTCCACGGAAGGACAGAGCGGAAGCTGATTGCATGAAAGAGGATTTCAGGGTGGCCGGGAATATTTCTCGGGTTCCCTGGTGTCTCAAATTGACCGAATCCAATGGTGGCGATGAAAGAAAAGGTTCACCCACTCCTGCGGCTTCGCTTGGGTGGGGGTGTCCGATAGATGGCCAGCTAGTCGAATAATTGACAGCTTGACATTGTTGTGCGCGATCCATCCCGGGATTAAGATCTGGTATCGGTAGCGCCATAGGCTGGGCATCATGATGACGAGTTGGGGACATTGAAGATGATTGTGCAAGTGACGGGCGGGGGGGAGAAGAATAATCGCAAGTATGCTGGGACTTTGACCATACGCATTGGCTACACGGCTTGAGCCGGTCGCATTTGACCTTGCGCCTTCTGCATGGCGCGCACGAAAGCTTCCGGTTCTTTTGCAAGGCGGCGTGGAGCTGGCGATTAACTTTCATGATGCTTCGTTTTGTTCGGTGTAACTCCTGCTGCTGGGCGGGGTCCATGGTAAATTTAGTGCTCGGGACTCACGGCAAGACCTGCTATAATCATACCGCCGAGTGAGCACTTTCGAGGGCGTCGAGAATGTGGATGTTCGAAAAGTAGGACCAGAGTCTTCTGGTAACTTAGTGGCGAGTGACCCGACTGATGGGGGAACATTACTACTCCTGTCTTTTCGGAGTGCGAGTTACCGTATGAGACCTAGTGCCGCTGCCTTAACGCCTTGCTCGGATTTTACCCGTTCTTCGCGGTGATCGGTATTCCTGTTTAGATTTTGGTTCCTTAGTAATCTTCTGTATTGCTTGCCTAAGCCGCCGCTGTCTTCTCCACTCTTACGTGGCTGACTTTGGAAAAAAATGCTTTCTTATGCCGCATTTCCGAAATATCGTTATCCCGGAGTACTGGAGACTTGAGCTAGCTTTTTATATAACATGCTTCATACGGCCCGTACTCTTTGTTATATAAATGCTCTTCCCTGCTTATACCGAAAACCTACATCGAGTTCCAAACAAAATTTCGCATATCTCAATTTTTCTCCCAACCAAGTGAAATGACATTAAATCCCGAGTCAAGAGAAGGACAGCATGAGGCTCATGCCTTGAGAGAATTTACGTATAGCTACCCTTGTTCCTCACTCCTCATACCTGATCCTGGTATACTTGGCTAATGATGACGGCTTTCTTTCAGTCCCCAGGCATGTCTTGCTCTGCTCGGTGCCTTCACTGGTTTCTTTTGCACTGTCGGGTTTTTCAATTCGTTTGGTCTGTTCGAGACGTATTATCAAACCCATCAGCTTGCCCATGAGTCCCAGTCTACTATTTCCTGGCTGGCTGCCGTCAGCACGTTCTTCCTTTACGCAGGGTCGATTTTGTGCGGATTGCTGCTTGACTTGTTCGGCGCGGAAGTGTGTTGCCTGTCGTTGACAATTATGATTTGTCTTCAACTAATCACCCCAATTTACGTAGGTCATGCTCTATCTCGGTTGCTTTGGCACGGTCTTATCACCGATGATGATCTCTCTCTGTGAAGAATTCTGGGAGTTCATGCTTGCGCAGGGACTTCTCTTTGGCATTTCCATGACACTGGCATACACCCCGGTGCTTGGAGTCATTGGTCATTATTTCAAAAGAAGACGTGCAGCAGCTATGGGTATTGTAATATCAGGCTCATCGCTTGGAGGAGTCGTATGGCCTATCATGCTTCAAAAACTGATCTATAATCCCAACGTTGGATTTGCGTGGGCGTTACGTATTGTCGGCTTCATGATGCTGCCGCTCCTCGCTGCGACTTGCATCCTCGTGAAGCCACCAAAAACGACGCAGGCGACTGATAATTATCGGGCCCATGAAAGGGATGGCCAGCCGCCAGAAAAGAAGTCAACGAGGAAGCTGGAATTGACGCATCTGAAAAAGGCCCAAACCCTGCTTTCGTGTTTGGCATTCTTCTTCATTTATTTTGGAATGTTCACACCACTTTTCTTCACTGCTTCGTTTGCTAATTCAAGGGGCTTCTCTGATGATCTTGCTTTCTATACCATCTCTATCATGAACGCGACCTCGCTAGTTGGGCGAGTGCTTCCAGGCTTCTTGGCAGACTCATATGGACGGTTCAATATTTGTATCGTCGCCACTATATCTTCAGGAATCATCGCACTGTGTTGGAGTACAGTCAATACAATCGCGGGGCTAGTGATCTTCTCACTAGCGTACGGATTCACCTCTGGGGTAAGATTTCCGTTATTTTTATTGCTATATTTTTATGCCAATTTGGATGCGAAGAAAAGGGCTAAGACTGAATAGGCGATCATGTCACTGCAGCAAGCTTGTGCTGCACAAATCTCCACGCCTGAGACGATGGGGGTCACAATTGGCACGCTCATGGCCTCTGCATCACTGTCGTATGTTGGGTCTAGCATTTTCAGGCTGAATGTAATGCTAACTATGTTTAAACAGGGGTTTAGCAGGGATTCCTGTCAGTGGCGAGATAGCCGGCAAATACGGATATCTTGCCTTGTCAGTCTATGCTGGGGTTAGTCTAATTTTAGGTGGCTCCTTCCTCGCTGCGGCACGTCTCGTGCAGGAAAGAAGGTGCTGGGCCGTTGTTTGAGCGAGCCTATGCGGTATATCGAGCTGAACCATATGAAACTCAACGGTGGAACGTGAAGATACTTTGTCCGCAGTGGTTAATTTACCGCACATATCCTCTTGACATCTCTGTTGGCGAAGCTTGCATCCGAATCGTGAGGGTACATTCATCCCCGACAACTTTCTTCACTGCAGATATTGAACAGAACTCAGGGATTAGCCATGCTATAATTCAACCCCTCGAGCAAGAAATCAAAATGAAACAAGCAGTGGCGCGGCATTTCAGCCCTTGAGTAAAGCCCTACTCTGTACTGTATGGCATTCAAGTTCAACGTATATAGTACTTCATATTTTGCTTAGGTTAGGTTTTTACTGTTCTGATCACGATAGGGCAGGCGCATTACTTCTCCGATATGTAACAAACGTCTCAAGACAGTTCTTTCTATATACAATCTCTACCAATTGATGACAAAGCATAGCTAAAGAAACGAGAGTAAACAAATCCGGGCAAGGGGTGGTATAAGTAAGGTTTAACACTATTTATCTGTCTTCAAGATGGAAGGTGATGTCGGCCGCCACTATATCCTGACAAATATTCTGAGCTTCCGCCATGTATTTGAAGCCTTTCGCTTGTAGAATGACCCAATTTGATACGCCTAGGGGAGAAAGCCATAATTGTAATACATAAACTTTGCCAAATCAAGGTCCAGTGCCTAATAGGGAAGTGCAATAAAGGCGAAACCGGTTACTGTTTGTACAAGCAAAATAGACGCATTGTGAAAAATGTTGTAGATAAAGAGAGAATGATAGGGCAAAGAACATTCTGGATCAAACCTTGAGGTATGTTCTTAGCATAAGGATAGCTCAGTCATAACTACGTTGAACAGGCAGATCATAACTACTATTGTCAGTCTTGTGACTGCTAGATTTCATAAGCCAGGAAACTAAGCCGACGTATCCCTCTGGCAATTGTCTTCAATGTCTGCAGGTACCACCGAAACCTTCATTGTCCCCTATAAAGCAATCGCCCACTGAATGATTCGGAACGGTATCTGGCACCGCCAACAGCCATGCTGGCGCTTTTTTCCTTCACCGCAGTCTGACTCGTGCCGCGGATTATCTACAACACGCGAGACACCTGCAGATCCAAGCTCCATTCCACCTCGTCTGGTTCAACCGATGTGCGTACTACAACATATTTCGTACGGCGGGACTGCCGGCATCACCAAAAACGCTGGGAGCCTCGGACGAGGCGACAACACACGGGCAATCTTTGGACGGCGTGCAGGGTCAATTGCAGCTAATCTTCACCCACTTGAAGCCGAATAGCCTGAGCACTTTCGAGTTCGTATGAGCAGGCGTCCGTTTCCAGAT